TTCCTAGATGAGATCTATGGCCTTAAAATACGTTTTGACACACTTCATAGGGAGTGTCTGGCCGCACACACACCAATATGGTGTATTCTGACCATACACTCCCTTGTATAGCCATACACCCCTTATATACAATCATATATGATTGTAACACTTTAATATAAGTGTATACTAGTCCTCAAGGTGGTCCCAATTCATTAAGTAGTTGTTACAAACACTAATTGTATGCATACATATGTCATTATTTGGTTAATAGGATTCGTTTGTGCTTAAGTCCACAATTGTCACTCAACCTCCTAAACCAATCCTACCGTCGCATCACTCACTACAGGTGAGTTCATACCCCTTAATTAACCTTTTAAATGTTTTTAAATTCTTTTATGGGGGGGGGGGGGAATACAAGTTGAATTATGATAGTTATTATATCAATCACATGTGATTAATAGCTATCAAATTATAGGTTTACTACAATTTTAGTTGTTTTACTCAGTATAATACTTCAAAACGATTTCTCAAAACATATTTACATACTAAATTCTTTATCAAACGGTATTACATACTATATCTTTCCTTTCAACCTCTATTACATTTTTGTTTCAAATAAAGGATTTCTTATACTTTAAATTGTTCCTATCAAACAAACTACTTTCAAATCGTTTTATAAACTGACATCAAGTCATGAATTCTTATTTATTAAATTTTTCAAAGGTTTTACAAAACTTACTTTATACTTTTATACTGTCAATTGCATGCCTATATATGTATAGTTATATAAGTAATGTTTAAAGGTCTTAGGACTGCTAGCTCACTTTAATTCCTTTTCCATGTTTGGATGTGGCCTTAGAGTATCGGTTATTTGTCCAAATGTCGTCTAAATATTAGTTATATATTATGTATACATATATAGACATAAAAGTTCTGTCAGTCAATTCAGTACCTTTGGGTAGCAAAGGCATACTTCCGGTTATACACGTACATTACTAGTAACTAGAATAGGTATAGTTAGGAGATACTATTTACTATTCCTAGTACAAGGAATCACACTAAGAGTCAATTCATACATGAGTCAATATATACAATGCACTAATACATACTATACGAAGTGACTCTACTACATACTATACGAAGAGACACTAATACATACTATACGAAGAGACACTAGTACATACTATACGAAGAGACGCTAATACATACTATACGAAGAGACACTAGTACATACTATACGAAGAGACACAAATACATACTATACGAAGAGACACTAGTACATACTATATGGAGAGATACTACTACATACTACATGAAGTCATACTTCTACATACTCATGGACTGACCATCCTACACTTGGCTACTCGCAACAGAAGGTGTGTTCATCTACAGATGTCCTCGGTTGTACTGTTCAGCGAGTTACCACACCGTATTTATCCTATACAAATGGATACTTTCATAAGGGTTATATTATTTCCTTATTACCTTTATTTTGTGAGACATTCACATAAATGATGAGGTAGGATATATTTTGATATAAATATATTATTTCTCCTATTACCTTTATGTTGTGAGACATTCACATAAACGATGAGGTAGGATATATTTTGATATAAATATATTATTTCCCCTATTACCTTTATTTTGTGATACATTCACTTAAACGAAGAGGTAGACTATATTTTTATAATAATAATTATACATGGGAAAAACCGTCATTTTTACAATGATACATACTTTCAAAACAGTCGAGTCTTGGTAGAAAACTGTTTTTTATACTAGTAGGAAATATGGGATTTTCTAGGATCTTTTATACTTATACAAAAATTTTCTCACACAATTACAAGTCTTACATTATAGTTTTTACAAATCAATGACACTAAAATACTTATGAATTCACCAGCTTTATGCTGATAGCCGCTTTCAAAATAACTTGTATTCTCAGATCACCAATAGATAGGTACGACGATCACGTTTTGTGAAGACGGAGTAGTCAACACTCGTCTTTTATTTTGATTATTCATTATGTTGTTTTATTCTATGAAAGAACACACTTGTATTTAAAATTATACTATTAATGAAATGGATGATGTTGTTGCTTGTTTACTACTTTGAATTGCTGTGATACTTTACATGATGTCCTCCGCCCCAGAACGTTTCCGCCATTCTCAGTTTTGGGGTGTGACAGAACACGAAATGAATAGAATTGGATTAGTATGGGATTGTCAATACATAATCGAGAAATAGAGATGATTTTATGTGATATGGATGGAACACATAGAACATTAGTGAGAGTAAAAGAAGTATTAGGAAAAGGGGCTATTAAAGAGCCAACATGAGTGATGGTAAGGGACGAACCATCTCCGATGATGAGTTCACCGGTTCCATCATAAGGTGTGTGTAGTGCAAGTGCATTGAGATCATTGGTTATATGATGAGAAGCACCGCTAAAAAAGAGCCATTCTGGAGTTGAATAGGGTGAGGTATTCATCAGGTGAGCTTGTGGAGGTGTGTTGTTGTAGTTGGTTTTTGGAACATGAGGTAAGTTAATTTGTGGGTATTTGTTCTTGAAGGCGTAACAGGAAGTGAGTGAGTGTCCTTTGGTGAAACAGAATTGGCATTTTCCAAGGAATTGGCGGGTTGTGCCATTGACTGTGGGGGTAGGAAGTAGAGTAGGAGCTGATTGATTAGAATTCCGATTCTGCCATGGTTTGTTTTGTGGTCTTTTATTTGCTGCAAATGCAGTTACTGGTTCATGAAGTGAATTGGTAGTAGAGGTTTTTTGAAGAAGATAAAGCTCATGATTGTTGAGTTTCTCATGTAGTTCATGAAAAGAAATAGGGGTATCTTGGGCATGAACAACATCAATGACTGTTTTGTAAGTGGTAGAATCGAGACCATTTAGGATAGTGTCAGTTATATCTTCTTCATCCAACTTCTTTCCCAGAATGATGAATTCATCAACAAGGGTTTTAACAGATTACATATAATTTGTAATGGTCTGATCGTTGGTTTTTGTTGATTGTTTTAGGCGATGTTGTAGTTGTTTGACGTGGCCACGAGAAGGATTTCAATATGTGTTTGAAAGAATGTTCCAGGCCTCAAGTGAAGATGACATATTTGTGACTAAAGGAATGATGGGTGGGGAGAGAGTACCAACAAGAGCTCCGAAATGTAACCTGTCTTGGCAAAACCAGGCAACAAAGTCTGCATGGGGAGTAGATACACCATTTGTGATTGTGGGTTTAGGAGAGAGGAAGGTTCCATCGATATATTTGTAAAGATCCAGGCCATGAAGAATGGCTTCGGTTTGAGTTTTCCAACTGAGATAGTTTGTGGAGGTGAGTTTGAGGGAAGCTGGGAATTGAACAAGAATTAAGGATGTTGTATTGAGAAGGAGGGTGGGGATTACAGAGGATGAAGAGCTTGAACTAGAAGACATAATTGTCGATGATTAGGAAGTGTAGGTTTTCCTGGCAATACCATATAAGAGAATGAATGGCAAGATGATTTCATTCAATTGAAAAGAGCTACATATACACAAAAGATCCTAAATATTAGGATCTATTACAACAAGAATGAATACAAAGTCAAATAGAATAAGTCTATCATTTTCTATACAAAAGAATATGAGAATAATATACACAAATATAAAACGTGCTATGTGTTAATAGTCAGGTGGGGACTCAAGGCTTCAGGTATTTTGGGAGTTCCCCAATGATTTCAATTTTTCTACACACAATAAACTTAAATTGAAATTCTATTTTTTAAATGTGATTTAGATTAAAAGACGATGATTTGCATCGGAGAGGTTAATGATGCCTTAGAATGCACTCATCAAATCTTTTTATTTGAATTAGAGTCTGTTTATATACCTACTGAAACTTAAAAAGATGTGAAAATAGAGGGAAACTAAAACCTAGATTTTTCACTACCATTCTTACTTATGTTTGTATCAAACAAAGGAGAAAGTGGTTACACTTGGATTACACTTATTTGAATTAGAGTCTGTTTGGCATTTAATTTGATGAATTTGACTTTAATAAAAAAATAAAAGGTTTAAAAGTGGTTTGTTAATTCCATGATTATTCCATATAACTTTAACAACATGCATATACTACTGCAGATGAGTTTTAAGATGACTGAGGTTGTGATTTTGTTGCATACATCCTCTTTTAGAGTACATATGATTCAAATGACATTGATATGAATGGTGATGATGTTATAAACTTTTGATTTGTGCAAAATGAATGTTGATATGAATAGTGATGATGTTATGGACTTTTGATTTTTGCAAAATGAATGTGATGGGTTATTTTATTTAGTAAAATCATAAATAGTCATGTAGAATCTTTGAGCCTATAAGTGCAAGTGGGGCTGGTTAGAGCACAAATAATGTTGTTATTATTATTATTATTATTATTTTTGTTATTATTATTATTATTATTATTATATTTTTTAAACTATTTTTGGAATAAATTATTTGATATTATTTCAGTATTGTTATGATTAATTTTTTTGTCAATATCTTTATTATTAATATTATAATAATTTTGGTTATAATTATTAAGAATTTTTTTAACATTAGTTTTTCCGGGTTCAAGCATTCTTTTATTTAATAATTTAAATCACTTCGTTATGAAATAAAAAAAAAATCTCATTAGACAAAATGAATTCAATCCCTTTCTCCCTATATAAAACCCAATGATTACTAGTTTTTTACTTCATTTCAATGGTATTCCATCTTAAGTTCCGATGAACGTTTTACGAAACCACTTAAATGAAACCCTTTTATGGTAAATAAGAGGCACTTTAGCATCTAAAAGAAAAGCAATATGATATGTTTATAATAAAAAAATGATAAAAAATACTACTAAGGAACTACCTATAAACGTTTAATATATATTAATTTTCTAAGTAAACATAGGAACTTGAGAGATTTCCGAGGGATATAAATTTATTATATTTCTTTAGAAGTTTTTTGGTAATGTATAGTATATACCGATGAATTTTAGGTCCTTGGAAATTTTTGTAAGAAGCATCACCTTTTTCTAATATTGTTTCACCATAACGGATGAAATAAAAAAGGATTTTAAAGCAAAAGACGTTCCAAACAAAGGTAAGGTAAAACTTGTCATATGAGCCAAAACCATGGAGATACAAATTTACAAAAGGAGCGACAACATCCTATGATAATTTGTTCTTTTATTACCATTTTCCATACACAACAACAAAAGTCTAGTTCTTAAGAAACGACCATGGGCCTGTTCCTGTTCCCATCCTGCAAACACATGCAACAACTTATCACTAAACCATTAAATAGTTACTTTCTAAGATCCATGTGATACATAGTTGAAATCTTTCGTAACATAATTTTAGTACATTGTACATTGGTCATGTTATTTAATTTTTATGTGGTTGATCAAGTGTTGTTAGTGGCATGCTATGATCTTACATACTGATAACGGGAATCATAACAAACATAAAATTCGCTATGATAAAAAGAAGGTTACCTCCATATGCCTACAATGGCACGTAGGCCCATAAAAATGGAGAGAGCGATCCATATTCCGATAAAACCAGCAGCTTTGTACAGAGCAAATAACGATCCAATGCTCCCTATAGCCACTAGGATCTAACAAGAAAACAATTTGAATAACTAAGAGCTGATATATGCATTTATTGTCGAAAAGTGTTGCCATTAGTTAATTCTTGAGTAGTGAACGCTAACCATTGAGTATGCAGAATAAGCAAAATCTGATGCACCAAAGTTAATTCCATCATACACGAAAGCTATTGCGTTGATTGGTTGTGTGCCAGCAACAAACTAATTGTGATAAACATTAGTGATATAACCATGCATGAAGGATAAAGAATCGAATAGATTTAAAAATATAGATAAATACCGGAACACCTATCGCAATGATATGTTTAACATTTATGTCTTTTGTAAACACTCCAGAACCAAATTCCAAACCGAGTCCAACAAGAAGAGAAAGCCCCAAACCCATCACGAATCCCATCTGCAAATCACAAAGCGTATATTAATAGTGTTTCCATGTTATAATTAAAACAAAGAATTAGCATCCTTAATTATTATATCCTTTGAATTAAGAGCGTATATTCACTTCAAAACATACCTGTAATACTCTAGCTGCTGCAGCTGTTGCCTTCTCATAGTTCTTTTCAGCAAATGATGAAGCAATTATTGCCTACAAAATTCCATGGTTAAAGACATTGTTGAATCCTCCTCATATTTAAAAGTGATGTGCATCATTTTAATATTTAGAATTTGTTCCAAAAACCAAACCAAAACATTATGAAATTAAATAGCATTTACTTGTCCAGCAACCGCTAAACCATCAGCAAGAAGTGAAGATGTTAACCACACTTGTAAGCATATTTGGAATGCAGCCATAGATGTTGCACCTAATCTTGCAGCCAAAGATGCAGCTAAAGTCACACAAATAGTCGCTGCTATTACCTTAAACAACAATAAAAATCCTGTGGAGAAAACACTAGAAAATTGTTGAAAATGGAAGACAATCGATTTGATTATATAGAAAAAGTTTCCCAAAATATGTTACATACCATTTTTAAGAAACCGACTGAATTGTAAAGCCTTAAGACTTGGAGGTAGTAAGTCAACTTGTTGCATCAGTTTAACCAACAAAATCGTTGATATTAAGTACCTAAAAAATGAATGTGATGTATTAATTTTAAAGATGAATGATGAAGAAAAAATATAATTATCCAAAAATATGATGAATACTTACTGTGATAGAACATGCGCAATGGCTGCACCACTAACTCCCAAATTACAAGCAAAGATGAGAATTGGATCCAAAATTATGTTTGCCACATCACCTGCAACTGCATAAAGTACGAAAATATGTTGGAACACAAAAAGTAAAACGAAATTAGTTGGATAATCAAACATAAAGAAAGATATTAATACCAGTGGCATATAATGGAGTTTTGGTGTCCTTAAAGCCACGAAAAACTCCTTGCATTGCCAAAGAAAGAAGAACTGCCGGAGCTCCAAGTGAACGTAGTGTCAAATATTTATGTGCAGGTAATAGCATCGGAGAACCCTAAGAGAGAGAGAGAGAGAGAGAGAGAGAGAGAGAGAGAGAGAGAGAAAGAAGAGAGGGTAGATATTGTTATTCTAAAGCAAAAAAAGAATATTACTCTAATACTGTAAAATATACATACTGATTTCACACCCATTATACTCAAAAATGGTCTTGCTAGAAGTACTAGTAATAGTGTTTCAAGAAGACCGAGTATTGCTCCAAACAACAACGCTGTTGATGCTGAAGGTATACATCGCTTATGTTTTTCTAGCTTCGACTTGTCTTTAATGTTGTTTGTAACATTGATATGCTTGCATGGACTTTTTGGAAAATCTGATTAAATCAAGAACAAAAGACCCATGAGATAATGAAAAAGAAGAAGACATATTGTAATAATATTTTACTTGGTCATATCTACCTTTTTCTGTTGTCATCTCTTTCTTTTCGTTCTTAAGTGTTGAACCATTTTCCATGTTTTCAAGTTTGGCATCATCTTGGGTTGATTCTTTAGTTTTCTCTTTATTGGAAGAACATTTCTCTGTGTTTTGAGCTTCGATTGCTTCTCTATTCATTCGTTCTATTGTCTCTTCCTCAGCAACAAAGGATGTTGTAATACTCACAAGTGGGAATATGGCTACTTTTGAAACTTGATTGAAAATGGCAATTGATACCCCGACAGCAGCAATTTCCACTGGGCCTAAACAGAAGCGTAAATGATTTTAAAGAGATCATGCAATTGAAGAAAAAGATGTTACATGAGTTCGTTGTATTTTAGGTGGCATTATGGGTAAACATTTAAACATAAATATATGTTAAAGCATTCGTGCATCAACAAGTTCACCGATAACAACAATGGAAATTAAAATCTTAAAAGCTAAAATTTTGGTTATATTGAAGTGAGATAAATAGTTCGAGTCCAATATATGTCCTGATAGGCAGTTAGATCGAAGTAAGTGAAGTGATTTATCAGTTTCTCTTGATATTATTGTCTAAATCAGAATGTATATATATATGTCTTCACCTAATGAAAATAAGTACACTTTCAAAGAAAAACAAACTTTCAGGAAGAAACTACACCGAATTATCAAGAATGAACATAATTAACTTTTTATTGATTCGCCACACATGAAAATCCGAAACGAATTCTATGTAAGTGATTGGGACAAAGTCAACTTTGATATTGACTTATACTTATCTACAAAAGAGATCCTTGGACTATTACTTTTATGTCACTTCTACTAAAGAAAAGAATATTATTACAATTCACAATTAAAGCCCAAAAATGCATAATTTATCATTAGATATAAACAAATGCTAGGATGTTGAAGAAAGTTAGAGAGATACCTATACGACCAATAAATGCGGTATCAATCAAAGAAGCTATTGGATCGGCTGCTAATGCCATGGCTGCAGGTAAAGCAATTAAAATAATTTCTTTTCCTAGTGAGTCCATCTTTAAGACAAGCCTGCAAATTCATATCAAAAGAAGATAAAAACTCGAATAGTAGATTAACTTGTTCAAAATAGGAAAACCATTATATGATATCTAACTTCTCATAAGTGAAAAATAATATTTCATTCTAGCAAGTAGTAACGGAAAAGCGCAAAAAAAACCAAACATATTATCCCCAACTGCTGGTGAACAATTATGTTATTATTGTCTCCATTTAACACCAATATATTTTATTATTCTGGTTAACTCAATGTTTCACCTCCTATGTAGCTAGAACTAAAAATATAAATGACATTATTAATTTCCATAAACATTAATTGTTAGAAAATTACAACAATGATTTTAAGAAAGAATAATCTCATTGAGTTCTAGAAAATGTAATTGGCTAATTGTTATTTGATTAAACTTTATAATTTAAATCAGTAAATATTTTCATGTAATCTTTCAAACTCCATGCCCTTGCGGAAAATTAATATAGCCAAAATAAGAACAAATTGTAATTAACACATACACTAAGAAAATATAAAAATATATAAAAAAAAATTCACCATTTTGTAAAAAAAAAAAAAAAAAAAAAAAAAAAAAAAAAAAAAAAAGTAATGTCGGTGAGTTCTAGAGATTGAAATTGGTTAATTGATATTCCACATAAACTTTACAATTTCAATCAATCATTTCTTTTAATTTTGAACTTTATATATGCGATATAATTATTTTTCTTATACTAGATGTGTATCCGTATAAAATAACGAAAATAAATAGCTCTTATAAGGAATAGTTTTTTAACAGTGGATAACTATTAAATTTTATTATTAGTTATTACATAATAAAAAATTACTAGTTTCAAATAAAATATTTATGTTTAGACCTTTTATTTATATTGTATGTTTGTATATTTGATATAAACTAATTAATATTGGTGTTTAGTTTAAAAAATGTAAATTAATTCGTATATATGAATTGAATATTTTAAAATTGCCAATTTGTTGCAAATTAAATTTATTAATAATTTTTTTAATTTAAATCACCAAACTTTTAACAACTATTAAAGTTTATTTATGTATAATTAATTTGTATAAAAAAGTTATATCTTATATCTCTTAAAATTCAAGATATAAATAATATGTTTTATAATCCTTTCTAATAAATAAATGTTTTTATTTTTGCTACTTGTCACATTCTCATTCAATTTGCTAAATAATATTTTATAATTATTTTAAATTTTTTTTCCACATATCATTGTATGAGTTTTTCTATTTTATTAAATTCCACATAATATTTTAATGTAATAAACATAATAAATGTATATCAATTTAATTAATGAACTTACCTTTTAATTTCAAATTTCCAAAATAAAAGTTCATTAGTTTATTTTATTTATTTAAATTATTTGTTTAAATTTAAAAGATAAAAAAATATTTCCATTATAATAATTTATTATTTTTTCTTATTTTCTTTTAAATTCAAAGTTTTCAAATATTTTAACTTTTATATTTAATTTCTTTTAAATTAACTCATGTAATACATGAGTCTCACAAGTAGTATAACATAAGATATAAGATTATACGATTGTCATAATAAAATATAATAAAAAATAGTTCAATGGATAATCATTATTAATCAAGGAACCAATATAAAACCTTAGAATATAAAGCGATCAATGGCAAAATGAAGAGTTGTATACTTTTACAATGAACACACATTGACCAGATTATAACAAAAGTCACTTCTTTTTTTTCGTTTACTTTTTTAGGCCATGTTTTTATTGAAAAAATAAACCGAACATACGATTGTTCATGATTTTCATCCTCTTTCTATAGCAATCTATATTGATATCTAAAAATGATTTATTTTTTCAAAAAAAAAACTCATTTTATTTCTTTACATTTTAAAAAGTTAGGGCCAATTTTTTATCAAAAATTTTTAATAAATATATCAAAATTTATATTTTTTTGGTACTCTTTAAACATAGACTCATATTGAAATCAAATTAAATAAAAAACAAAATAAAATTTTAGTATAGTAAATCAGATTCACATTGTAATTTTAAAATTGAAATATTTATAATGTGAATGTAAACTGATCGAGGTTTTTTTTAATCGATATTAATGTTAATTAATAGAGGACAAAAAATTGAAAATTTTATTATAATTAGCTTTTTTATAAAAATAAACTTAAATATTGAAAAAAAAACAACAAAATGAAGTGGGTTTTTTTTTTTTTTTGAATTTTTTTTTAATATATCAATATAGATCTCTATAAAAAGAAGACAAAAAATCGTGAACAACAGTATATTTTGTTTTTTTTTGCCGATAAAAGATGTGCTTAAAAAAATTAAACGAAAAAAAGTGATGAGTTTTTTTTTTCATAAAAGGTAGGTTTATGATATAATCTGGTATGTGTGTCAAATGTATAAATATATATATCTATTTCCTTGACCGTTACCACTTTAAATTTCGACGTTCACGATTGTTTTCTTGGTTCCTTGTTAATAATTGTTATGTATTGAACTTCAATATATATATATATATATATATATATATATATATATATATATATATATATATATATATATATATATATATATATATATATATATATATATACAAAAAAAAAAAAAAAAAACATAATGGTATTTTAAGCATCGGAATAATATGTTACATATTTTTGGGGCTTTCTATTCCGGTAGTCTATTATCTTTGGGGGGCTTTCTATTCATGTAGCCAATAGATTTTTGAGATAATGTAGATATAAGAACTTTAGCATTCATTTATTCCAAAAATATATAAACTAAATGATTCTCAATGAAGGAGCAGGCAACATGAAAGGTACCTAAGATCTTTGAAGAAAACAAAGATCGGAAAATTCCACTTTCTCTGTGTTGGAAGAGCAACACCATCTTCGGCCATAGAACAAAGATGAAATATGCCTAAAACGGGTGAGATGATAGATGATAGCTAGAAGACGTTTAACTCTCAACTCTAGAGGTAATTTCAAACCTGAAATATGCATATAGATGATCGTAGGACGTTAGGAATATGTTGGACAATGAATCTACAACCAATATTATAATTTGGAAGAATAAATCATATCATTGAATATGGTTTTGGAACTACAATCCCACCAAAACTTAAAGGCTACAATGTTTCATGTAAAGAATTGAGAAAAGCATGTGAAAGGTCCTCTACACGTAATATAACAAATGTGATGGCTTAATAATTACATTCCTTTCTTTTGAAAAAAAATACATCTCATTCCGCATAAGATTTTTATGAGCATTTTTAATTATAATCAAATGTCTACATGTTTTTTTATATAAAGTGAAAGTTAAGAAATTACCAATTTATGATTTAAAATTATACTTATTTCACATAATACTAATTACTTATAGATGAAAAAGTAATGTATTGAGGGCTATATAACAAAATATTACCCTTATTAAGAATCCAATTCTATTATAGGACAATCGAGAGGATAAGGGTTTCGGACCACTACTATGTTTCCGATGTCTAATATAATAATAATAATAATAATAATAATAATAATAATAAATTGTTTTTCTATTAAGGTGCAACGTCTATAAAAAATTAATCATTATTATTTTTTGGTGTCACTACTGTCGGAAGTTTCTTTTGTCTGTCACTCAATGTTGTTTTGATCCTTAAAATATTACCTTTTTTAAGAACATAAATTCAAGTTTTTTTTGTAACCGAAAAAGTATCTAGAAAATACCTCTTAATTAATTTGATAAAATGAAAATAACATATGAAAGCAAACAAACCATCTCTTTATATGCAATTAACTTGGCCAACATAAGAATTAAAATAGATGAATACATCAGAAGACTGAAATTCAAGTCTAACTATAACAAAACAGCCTTATTTGTGTTAATTATCAACTGAGACAACCCATAAAAATTAATGCAAACTGCGCAAGTTATATTAATCATATTGGTGCAAAAAAAAATATCAGACTCCAGAAAAAAAATATATCTACGGATTTTTCCATATGAATATATGCGTAATATGCGATTTAGTTAATAGTCTTTTCTGTATTGGAGGTCCATAAAGCAACTACTTATACCGATCGAGACTACAAAGCTAAAGATGTCATGTAAAGGTCTTTTAAGTGTTTCTTGACTTGTTATCCAATATCTATCTTATTTGAGTAATTGGAGATATGCTTTAAAACATTTCGTAAAAGTTCTTTAAAATGATACTTGAGATCATGGTGTTCAAATTTGTGTTTGTCGGTTTCGTTGTGTTTAAATATTCTTCAAAGGGAACTGATTCGTACATAATAAATTTTTTTCATACACAACAATTTGTGCATCAAAGTATTGTATTGTACAACCCCATAAAGCATTAATTGATGTGTATGGATAAAAATTGTTGTGTACGAATCACTTCTCTTCTTCAAATGGCTTTTAAAAGAATTGTAGGATAATATTTAGAATGATATAAGTATATAACATTACATATCATATTTGTGTTAATAATAATTTGATATTTGATTGGTTTCTCGTGTCCTAAAACTTAGATTATATTTGATAATGATAATAAAAAAAATTAAAAATAATAACAATAATAAGCTTGTCTCAAGAAATTACTCAGGTTGAGTGCTCACAATGAAGACTATATATATTTTTAACGGAAAAATAGATTTTTTTAAGGAACATAAGACAAACAGGAAGCTAAACAATGTACGAAAACAAAACTACAGAAGTAAAGAAGAACTGTTTTTAAGAGTATACGAAATGAGATGACGGAAAAACTGTTTTTAAGAGTATATACAAGAAGTCTTAACTTAATATATTGTTTCTAATGATAAAGAGAAATAAATTACATATATGTGGCATATATTTATAATTTTATACCTTTTATAATTTATCTACCTTTTTCTTTCATTTCCTATTTCACGTGGCTACGTTGATGTGTTGGCAAGATCAAGTCCACAAAAAACATATTATTTTTTGGATTTTTTTTTTAATTTTACTATGGGTAATGGCATATGACGTATTTTTTTCCTATTGAAACAAGGCAACCCTTACGTTCACGACTTCCTTGCTTTTGTCTTTTTTAGATGTAAGTTTAACATGTGTCTTCGGTTTCTTATGAAAACCAGATAATGTGAACACCGTATCTTCGTACTCTGAACCATGACAAAGATACAAAGAACAATATTTAGGTGCAAAAGTTTTCTTTAGAAAGATAAATTATATGTACACAATGGAAAAAAGGATTAAGGGTGTAACATTGTCGGAAATTCACCAACTTCTCTTTCGACTAAAATTCAACCATATATTCTTAAAATCAAGATTCACCAATATGACTTTGTGATTTAGATCATAACATCCAACTCATCAAAATATATGTTTATTACTAGATGGATAGCACAATGGTAGTGTTTTTTTATCTTTATAAATTTTTACTATGTGTATATAGTTTTAAAACCATTTTACCATTGTCTATGAGAGTGTTTTTTTAAGATAAATAAACATAATTACATAAATTAGTTAACTTCTTTTAAAATTGAAGTAGGTTTATCACAATAGGTTTTTATTAAATAAGTTAAAAGTTTAATAAATAAAACGGATGTTATTTAAAAAGGTTAACCATTACAAATAGTCTATTAATAACCTTCGGCTATAGTATCCTCATTTTGCCACCGATTATTGCGAGATAGAAAAGAAACCACAAAATGATAAAAATAAAAATAAAATAAGCAGATTTAATACTTCTTAATACTATAATTCATTTCAAGCATCTAATTAAATTGAAATGTCGTGTAACATAATAAACCATAAGAGATACCAAATATGGATGTTTAGAGTCGCAAAAGAATTATTAGAAAAATATAAAAAAGGTTTAACGATTCAAGAAAGGTAACCTACCTATCAGAATTGAGAGCTCTCTTCCCCTCGGTGTTGATTAGCAAATGAGTGTTTTCCTTGAAACTACTCTTCCACTCCCTCCACTATATATACTGTGCAAGTATGGTTACTTTCTATCGTTTTCATAAAGTTACAACATTTTTTATTATTTTTAAAATATTTTAGTTTAAAAAATCAGAAAAATTGATGGAATTTAAATAGATGTGAGAGTACAAGTATGTAACTGATTAATATAACAAATAAAGTTATAACAGTGATCAAATGATCAACATTTATTTCCATAAAGTTAGAGGCCTGATCAGTTTATTTCTTGTAATTGTCGTTTTATTCCGAATGCATCAACTTTATTAGTGAAATCGGGTGTAACTGCATGAAATTGAGGCAATTAGTATATATTCTGAGTTAGAGGCCTGCGTATCTATAAAATAACGTTACAATAATCATTACCAATTCAGTGGTTATCGGTTAAAGTAAAAATGATCGATAGCAGCATTTCACGTTCACATGATTCTTTCATATGTCATAGACTATGAGGAGGGGATGCAGTTTGGCTGCACCTTTTGCCACATAGGTAGAGCAGTATTGTAAAACTTACCGAGTTGGCCGATTACTAATCTGAGTACTTGCTACTTGGTCCATTACCGAGGCGAGTTACAGAATCTCAATTACTCCCTAATCGACACCTTTACTGAACTGAGTAATGTTGTAAAACATGGTAAACTCGATAATTAATATGTATAATATACTTAATGATTTATTATTAACACATGAATGTGATTATTCATATATATATATATATATATATATATATATATATATATATATATATATATATATATATATATATATATAACTTTCAGTAATTATTTACGAAGTGAGAACATTATGAGTTTTTTAGTTTTTGTGTATTCACATGTATCTAATTTTGTTATATATTTCAATCAACTTATGATTTTGACATATATAATTTCCCTAAAAATATTTCTACATGAATTACCGAATCCAAGTAATCTCTGAGTACTCCCGAATACTTCCAGGTACTCGTTACTCGATAGTCAGTTAAACAGGTACCGAGTAATGAATTCTACAGCCTTGGGCAGAGGTACACTGCCCTCTCCTCCCATGTGATTTTAGGTGTGATTTGGTCGCACATCTCTCCTTTCTACCCTTACACTTGATTTGGCTAATGGGTTTGACCATTGGCAACGGTCAGAAATTGATATATATATATATATATATATATATATATATATATATATATATATATATATATATATATATATATATAATAAAGTTGGAACTCAAAAATTAATAGGAACGATAAGGATAAATCTTGAAGTTTATTTATTAAATTAGATGGCTTAAATGAGTTAGATCTAATGTGAAGATATAATTAAACTTTATAAATATAAGGGTTATTTGTGTAAATATTTAAAAGTTAGAAGGGAAATTAGATAAATGTTGTTGGGCAATATATTAATTCAATCGCCCTCCATGGAATTCTCAAACACGTGGAACTCCACCCTCAGTCCTCAACCCCCCCCCCCCCTCTCCCCTACCCCAGATAAATGTTGTTGGGCAATATATTAATTCAATCGCCCTCCATCGAATTCTCAAACACGTGGAACTCCACCCTCAGTCCTCAACTCCCCCCCCCCCCCTGTTCCACCCCACCCGCTCTCCCCTACCCCAACACATGTAAGCATTATATTTACTGGTTTTTTTATTATTATTTTCTTTGTAATAATTTTAAAAAAAAATTCTAAAAAATAATGAAGTTCTTAAAATTAAATTTTCTATAAAATGAGGATAATCATGAAAATTTAAAAAAAAAAATTATTTTTATATTTTTATAGGGTTAATACTATAAAAACCATAAGTTTTACAACCTAATTCTAAATTAGTCATAAATTGATTTTTTGTGTCTAATTAGCCTAAATAATTGTGACCCCGTTTCAAAATCGTTTTATCAGTCGATTAACAACAAGTTAAGTTACGCAGTCGGTCACCATTCTCCTATACTACTCGATCGTTCGTACACCACCAAATATCACCTTTCATAGAAACGTCTTGCATCAAAAAAGGATTTCATGCAGTTGGTGTTAGGAAGAAGAAGGGTTTGAAAAGGGTTTTTTACACCATTGGTGCATACAAAAAGCTTCTATTTTGAAGTTGAAAGACACTAAAGTAGAAAGGTACATTGGATGGCAATAAGAAATTGATATGTATGGGTGATCTTATCTTCCATAATCGAGTTCCATAGTGTCACTTACAAGTTTAATTTTTTAATCTTGAACAGATGGCTTCATCATCTAGAACTAAAAGGTTGAAAGGGTCTGTAAAGGTTTATGTAAGGGACGAGGACTCTGATGATGATCTCATAGATTTATCTTTCCTGTATTTTGCACCAGAGACTTTTAAACCAACCTCAAACCTTTTTGATGACCCATTCCTTAACATATTATGTGATGAAAATATGCTAAGTAGGACTCTTGATGGAATGGAAGATGGTAACCAGGAAGCTGGTGTTAAGGATCCAGAACATGATCATATTGATGATTAAAATGATGGTGAAATGGGTGTAGAGTATATGGTTTACGATCTAGACATCCGTTGGAAACAAATGAAGCTTGTAGTAGGAGAGTGTTATGAGTCCCCTTCTCAACTTAGGTTTGCATTAACTAACCATGCAGTAGCTAATAGATATCAGTTGTGGTTTATGAAGAGCGATAGGCATAGAGTGATTTCTAGGTGTGGGAAAATATATAAAAAAGAACCATGTCCCTTTAGAGTTTATGCTTCTTGGAAGTATAATGAACGAACATTTCATATTAAATCTATATGTGACATACATCTATGTGCTAGAAATTATAGTTTTGGAACTTTGGTTAGTTACAACTGGTTAGCCAAACATTACTTGAAGGATAATATTATGAAGCCAAATATGACATTAACTGAGATGAAGGAAGATCTTAGGATGTTTTCAGTAAATGTATCTAAGGGGCAATGTCACAGGGCTACGAAAAAGGCAAGATAGATTATAGAAGGTAAGTTAGAAGAACATTATGCAAAGGTATGGGACTATGCTGCATAAATCCTTAGGTCTAACCCAGGGTGCACTTGTAAGGTGGGATTAGATTCTAATGCAAGTGGCATGAACTATTTCAAAAGGTTTTATGTGTGCTTAAAGGCTTTTAAGGATGGTTGGAATAGGAGTTACAGACGTGTGATAGGTTTGGATGGTTGTTTCCTAAAGGGCCAGATCAAGGGAGAACTTTTGACTGCTGTTGGAAGAAATGCAGACAATCATGTATATCCAATAGCATGAGTAGTGATTGATGTAGAGAACAAAGATAATTGGACTTGGTTTATTGAGCATTTGAGCTGTTAGTTGCTAATCTTGAACTTGATTGTGGTAAGGGTCTTGTGGTTATTTGCGATCAGCACAAGGTAAATTATATTGTATATTTGTTTAATTATTATACATTTATAATAATTTTGTTTATTAAATGTCAGGGTCTACTACAAGCTGTTACAAAGCTACTTCCATATGTTGAACATAGACAATGTGCCAGGCACATCTATGAAAACTTCAGGAAGAAATACATTGGATTAGAGCTCAAGAACCTATTTTGGGAAGCTGCCAAAAGTACTATGGAGGGGGACTTTATAGCAAAAATGAAGAAAATCAAATACATAACTCCCAGTGGCTATGAATGGCTGATGTCAAACAAACCACATTCTTGGTGTAGGGCCTTTTTTCTCTCATGGATATGCTTGTGAGGCTATGGAGAATGTCATATCAGGGTGTTTTAATTCGATGATCATTCACATGAGAAAAAAAACACTTGTAACAATGCTTGAGGAAATCAGGATTTATTTAATGAATAGGTTTTATCGTCAAGCTGCTACAGTTTCTTAATGGAAAGGTAACTATGGCCCAAACACCTTATAGAAGATTAAGGAGTTTGGAAAGCATATAAGGTATGCTTATTTGATTTTAATTTTCATATTAAGTCTATACATGTGCATTACTAATTACTTATAATTTTAGGTTCTGGATAGTAATACCAAGTGGAGTGGCATTATTTGAGACAAGGCATGGATATTCAGCTTACAAGGTGGATTTAGATGCTCATTCTTGTTCATTTAAATTATGGGAGATATCAGGGTTACCATGTGTCCATGCTCAAGCTGCCTTTTGGTTCCATAAGGACAAGTTCATAGAGACATACAGGGACAACATCTTACATGTTAATGGAAGTAATATGTGGCCCTATACTGAATATTTGAAGCCCTTACCACCCCTTCTCAGGTTAATGCCTGGAAGGCCAAAAACAAAAAGAAGAAGACATGCCTCAAAATGCTAGGATTCTAAGTTCCCAAATCAAAAGGCAAAGGTTAGTAGGAATGTTAAGTGTGGGAAATGTAGGGAACTTGGTCATAATAAGTTGTCTTGTAAGAATGGAGAAGGTCCAAGTGACCCTGTCCCTAAAAGGAAAAGTGGTAGACTAAAGGAAGATGGGGGAGGGAATTCAGCTGTGAACATTACAAGGACACCAAGGAAAGTAGGTGATAGAAAGAAGAAAGCCGTTGAGGGCAAATCAAAATAAACAAATGAGGGACAGAAGAAAGATGTTGATGGCACATCAAAAATAAGCAAGTGATGGAAAGATGAAAGTTGTTGAGGGCACATCAAAAGAAGCAGGTAAGATGATAGATGTTGATCAGTCAATTGCCCATTTGAAGAGAATGAAGATGATGGCAAGGAGGGGAGATAAGATCAAATATGTAGGGAGAATAGGGGATGTGGATGGTAGTTTAAGTCAAACTGTAGCAGTTGTTGATGAAGTTGTACTTACCTACGATGAAACGCTTGACCAGGAAGATTTTGAAACTATTAAAGATCTGCAGGCATCTGGACATGATCAAGGGGAAATTGTTGAAGCTTTTAATAAGGTGTGTAGTTATCAATTTAATTATTAACACAATTTTCTTGAACATTATGTAATAATATGTTAATTTCTTATTCAGAGTTGACAAAAGAAAGGAAGGAGATGTTGGTTGAGAGTATAGTTGATGAAGATACTATTCAAGATACACAAGATCCATTGGTAAGAGAAAGGAAGCCCACATAAATAATTATCAAGATTAAGTTAAAAAAAAAAAGTAGTGCATGATCTAGATAGAGGTGGTTCAACAACTGAGAAAGCACTTACATTGGACTGATGTTGTTTTGGATGGGGGGTTAATTGGGAAGAAATCTTTTGATAGCCCTTTTTTGTGAAAGCATCTTTAGGTAACAAGCTTCCAATTTGTTGACAACATGTTATATTTTGACTGTAAATTGTAGTAAGTACATTGTCATTTTGGGAAATCATCTTTTGGCTTGTAAACATTGTTGTAAAATTGGAAGTTTGGTTCTGATTGTTACCCTCTACATAAGTATTTTGCTATTATGTTAATAAAGATTGTGGTTTGTAGTAAGTTCAAAGTTCAATGTCAGTTTGTAATGGATAATACATTTTCAATTTCTGGTTAATGCTTTTCATATTAATTGTCCCATAGGACTATATATTACAAGGGTACCCATATTACAATCTTCAAAATGTTTTTCAGATGTTATTACAATTGTCCAAAATAAGCATCTAATACAACTTTCACCTAATCAACAACTTCACAAAAGACTTAACTTAACTTTCTAACTTCCTAACTCCGTACAATTTCACTAGCAATACAATCCCTATTTCCAACATCAGTGCAGATAGCATGACCATGATGAACATCAGCTTCATCATCAACATCAACCTCCTATTTTGATCCACATTCACCTGTTCCAACTGAGCATTGCGATCAGCCATACCAACCATAGCTAAATGCATTTGGTACATTAGGTTTTTGTAATCTTCACTAGGCAAAGGTTGGTCTAGCCACATGAAGAACTTACTATACCTAGAAGGATCCTGCACATTTTATCATATTCTAAATAATCGGTCAAACAATAGTTGTAATCTCTTTCTTCACTAGTCAAATGTGGGTCCATCCACAAGCAGTATATGTTATTGATCAATCAAATATATGATTTGTATACTATTTCTTTATATGGTATCAAATATACAATATTTGAAAGCATCCTACACATTTTTATGATAGATTTGCCCTTAGTCCCATAACAAAACTTTATACTTGATCAAAGAGTGAAGAACATACCTTGTAGTTGGTGCATCCCCTATATTTTCTTCTAGGATTCTTGTCCGTCTACGAAATTGAGAAGCTCGCCTCAACACCACAATGACCCAAACCCATGGAGTTGTTTCTGTTCCTGACATTGGCATTAACATTTTGAAATCCTGAAGTCATTGACCCTATAGACCCTGTAGATGAACTAGCCATGAGTAGGTTGTTGAGTGGTAGAAGAAGTTGGAGAATGTAGAAGTGGGAGGTGGAAGATGGGTTTCTAACGGTAAAACCCCTATTTGAAAAAGGGTAACCGGCTGAAACTGGGGAAACCGGCTAACAGGGCTTGAGGAAAAAGTCAACACATACATAATGACTAATTAGACACAAAAAATCCATTTAGGGCTAATTTAGAATCGGAGTGTAAAACTTATGGCTTTTATGGTATTAACCCTTTTTTTATATTTATAAAGACCCCCCCCCCCCCCCAAAAAAAAAAAAAAAAGAATTCTTCGAAAAGTATAAAATTTAAGGAATAGTTCTACTCACTATTCTAATAACTTTGTAAAAAGAATTTTTAAAATATAAGATGTAAATACCAAATTTAATTTTAAAATATTAAAAGTTATTTAAAAAAGTGTTGAACATGATATGATCCAAATTGATATCATTCAAAATATTTGTTTCAAAAATATTATGAATCAATATGTTTATAATCATTAACTTGTCATTACATATAAAGAGTTTGATTTAAATATTTAATAATCATTAATTATAATATTTTTTATGATTTAAAATTAAATGATTCAAAAAATATAATGATCAAAATGTTGTATTGAACAACAACTTTATTTAATTCAATAGATTATGATCCAAATTAGTATGATCTAAATTAATTTGATCTAAAAATGTATGATGGATAATAGCATTATAATTCAAAATATTATGATTCAAAATTTTATAATCCAAAAATAATTGATTAAAAAAATATATGAACGGAAACTATTATGATGGTTAATATTCTTCTTGTTTAAATTTTATAATTATTAAACATTAAAAACTCAAAACGATATTTAGTTTAAAAAATCAAAAATAAAAAAAAATTAAAAAATAAAAATAAAGAAAAAAGCCTAGTATCCTCAAGTATGTAGTGAAGATACTAAAAAACGAAATAAAACTGAAAAGCTAAATGAAAAACAGATGAAAAAAGAAATAATTTTTTTCAAAAACAACAAAAAAATCTGAAGAAAAAATAAGAAAAACAAAAAAAAAACGTTAAAACCGAGCATATATCTGTTTAATTTTTTCGAATTTTTTAAAGAAAAATAAAAAAAATGAAAAAAACCAAAATAAACGAAAAAGAAAAGAAAAATCATTTAAATGATGTTCGGCGGACATTCGTTGCACATGATTATTCAGTTGATGTTGTATTACGTTCGAGAGACGTGCGTCACATGCGGATGATGGGTTCCTACTTGATTCAAACCCTATATATATATATATATATATATATATATATATATATATATATATATATATATATGTGTGTGTGTGTGTGTGTGTGTGTGTGTGTATATATATATATATATATATATATATATATATATATATATATATATATATATATAGAGAGAGAGAGAGAGAGAGAGAGAGAGCTAGGTTCAAATGTTTCTATCAACTATTCTGTGCATGTATGCACCAATCACAAATTAGTAAATATTAAACAATTAATTAAATCAAATAAGGGTATTTTTGGTTTTTTATATTTACAATTAATGAGGTCATTTAATTTAATCCTACAATTAATGAAAGAAAATCAGTATTTTAAAACCCTAAACATAACTCATGTCGTTCATTTGCATCTATAAATCTTCCTCCAGCGGTTCTTTTTTTCCTCCAACGACTCTCCCCTTCGAAGAAAGAAACATTCAATCGATGCCTCCTCTCCAAAAACGCCTCCCCCTCCTTTTTGCGGTGTTGACCCACCACCGTCATTAGGCGATCACCCTCCTCTGTCGGTCTTCATCTTCTCAGGTAAAAGAGTAGAAATCATTAGCCAATCTCACATCTTAATCTTCAATCAAAAGTCGACATCTTCTATAATTTTTTTAAACAATTTTATTCTTTCTTCATGACTTCAAATCACTTAGCTTTTCAATAATTTTGATTGTTTTTTATTGTTTCTTTTCTTTATTCCATATCAGGTCACATTTATGTGGTTGTTTCTATGGATTCTTCCCATGCATTTCTGTTTCCATGGAGTTTCCCTATCTTTGAGTTTTGATTGGCTCCATTCGTAACTGTCTGCTTTTGTTTTGCTGGGGCTCCTCTACGATTCTTACTATCCATAATGGTTTTCAGGGTGGTTGACCATTTTACGCGTGGTGTTTTTTTTTGCTATGTTGGTGGTTCTTTGGCTTATGTGCAATTGTTTGTTGCTGCTTAGTGGTAGTGTGGTGGGGTTTTCCTGGAATTGTGATATGGTTTTTGTTGTTGGTTCCTTTTACCATGTATGTGTGTATTGAGCTTCTCCTTTGTTGGTGGTTTTTCTTTTACACAAAAGCATTTGATAATGCACAAAAGGTGTTTGATAGAATGCATAAGAGATGTTTCAAGCCAAATTCTCGGTAATTGACTAATTCTCAGTAGGATACCATTAATGTTTGTTTTTCACCTTTTCTCTCTTGCAATTTATAAAAAAAAAAACTCAATTGGTGTTGTTTTTTAGAAGAAATTAGTCTATTATGATGTGAAAGTTGAATATGAGGTGTGAATGGATTTGTGTGTATTCTATCAAAATTTATTTATATAAATCCATTCTTTCATAATGTTTGTATTCGTTTAGAATGAATTAGTGTTTATTGTTGAATTTTGATGTTTTTGTTGTATTTGTGATAGGAATAGCTTGAATGTATTCTATATATTCTTTAAGAATGTATTGTTCCAGAATAAAATCTATGTATATCTGTCATAATGTATTCTATGTATTCTGTCATATGCTATTTATTCTACAAGAATATATAAAGTGATAGTTAATTGCAAGTAACATGTTTTTAACCATTGTTAGTTTTTATTGTATTTGTGATAGAAATCGCTGGAAGAATGCATTGAAGACCTAATAGGAATAAATTAAAGAATGTATAAAGTTTGATCATACTCACAATTTAAGAATGTGTTATTTTTTAAGAAGTTTATTCATTTTTGTTGATATTCTTTTAGAATATGTACAATTATATTAAAATGTATAAGGCTTTTAGTATGTAAGAATATGCAAGAATTCGTATGTAAGTTCGAATGTATAAAAATATATTAGAATGTTGTTATATTTCAACATTGGATTCAAGATTTTTGTTATTCTTCAATAATATTCTAATAGAATAACATTCCGAAAGAACCTCATTCTAACAAAAAAATATTCTAACAGAATAAAATCGGTTATGTTTACAAATTACTTTAGAATTAAAATTGAATTAATTAAAAAAAATAATATTTTTAAAAATAGGAGAATTTATTATCTCTAAAAATGCGAAAATTTCCTTTTATAAATATAGTTAATTGTCAAAAATACCCGTTTGCTAAAATTTATGTGATCATATGGTACATGTTATTGATGGGTTTTGGTCATAAGAACATCCTATGTGCTCATACAAACCATAATGCTTGGATCTAGGTTTCTCTATTGTACATGCAAGTTATCTAAGACTATAAACCCTAATTCTAGCATTCAAGTAATCATATTAACATGAGAATAGGTTTAAGATCATACCTTGATTGTTATGTAGCAATAACAATCCCAAATCTCCTTGTATTGACTTTAGAAAGCTTAGAGTCACAAATGTCACTCCTCTAATGGTTCACAAACACCATAAGCAAGAGGATGAAGAGGAGAGAGGATGGAGGCTGCCCAAAAATATGTGAAACCCTAGAACAAAGCTTAGCCACGTTTTTGGTCCTTAAGGGGTCTATATATAGTGAGGCTATTAGGGTTATCTAACAAGGAAACCCTAATTTGGATGCTTAAGCCCTAAGCAACCCATAGACTCCTTTAATTAAGGCCTTGGACGATTTCCTTATGGGCTTCCCCATAGAATTCGTCCACTCCTCAACACAAGACAATCCATGGCCCAAATTGCAATTATCCTATAATTACAATTTCAGTCCCTTAAGTTTCATTAATCTCTTTTAGTAAAAAAACTAATTACCAATTAATTATTGACTAATATTAATTAAACAATATGATTTCTCCTTTAATATATTATTCTCATAATATATTAATAAATCATATTTAATCCTTTCTCTCCATAATTCATCCTATCAAGTTGCTTTGGTGAAGGCAACCCAAAAGGACCATGCACCATCGGGTCAAGTACATACCAAAATAGTTATGGACTTAGACACTAATCCAACAGTTATCTTATTGTA